CGGAAGTAGATTGCCCAACCTTCCTTCTGAGGAGTGGCTGGTGGGTTTGAACCACCAGCTTTCTGGTTAGCAGTCAAGTGCCTTAGGCACTATGCCACCAGAGCTCCCTAGGTGAACTTACCTTTGGCAATTTCTGTGTTGCACACATATGTATGCAGGGTGGAGCAAAAGGAGTGATCCGTGAAGGAAAAACAAGGTAGGAAAAAGAAGTACAGTTCTCACAGTGGCTGGATGGCCAACAGAGTGTCCCTCTGGAACACTGGAGGCTGGAAATGACCTCACTAATGGAGGTGCAGAGTCATGAGTGTCGTGTCCCCAAATGGACATGGGGACCAGGGACCCCTCTAGAGTAAGTTCTATCTGAACTGATGGAGGTAGGGCAGAGTACTCTGCTATGTGATTTTACAGAATGTAAGGTATCTATCTGTCACACAGGGCACTAACACTTGGCATTTTCCCAATACTTGGGTGCTGCTTAGTTTTCCAGGCCCACAGGTATTCATTCTGCTGGAGCACCAATGTCAGCCAGCAGGCTGTGACAGGGTCCCTGCCAGCCTATCCACAGCATTAAAATACCAGCGACCCGAATAATGGGATTTTCATTTTGTAGAAAATGGTGCTACCACACCAGGCAGCCCAAGAGAGTCCTCGGCACAGGAGGTTTCTAGGAACCCCTTTATACCTTTTCCAGAGTCCCTTGAGTCCCCAGACCTCGGACGGATGTCTGTTTTCTCAGTCTCTACCCTCTAAGCTGCTTTCCCCTTCCTTCTTGTACTTTTCAGTGAAAAGAGGGAATGACCATATCTTCCTTTCAAGACTAAGATGAAGCCAGGAAAGTTCTGCCCACTTTAGCACGAGCTGGGGGCCCTGCGCCATGCTGGGAAGGATACAATGAAAGCACTCTCCTGGTTACATGAGAGGAAATGGTGGAATACAATGTTTTGATCCTAGCAGCTTGTTGAAAAATGTCCTTTTAAAGACGAAAGCAACTTTAGTTAGTGGAAAGAAGAGTAGAATAAAGAGTTATTTGGATGTGAAGAAAATAAAAGGCTTCAGAAGGAACTGAGGGAAAGATGTATCGGAGTGAACAGTGAATAAAATATCAGGGAAATAAAAGGAGTGGAGGTGACCATTAGTAACACTTAAAGTAGAAAAAGATAAGTCATTGAGGGCTGAGGAGGAAGATGAAAAAGGATAAAAGGAAACATTACTGTCTGAACAAAGAGAGCAGGAAGCTGTGGGCAGAATAAACATCCCCTGTAACCTGCTAAAAGCTGAGCACAGACTTGGTTGAATATAAGTCCAGGGTATGAGCAGATGAACTATGTATGTCAGGCGAAGACACAATGCTTTCAGACAACTTTATAGAACAGAAGGAGTGTGGCCATCAACTGACTGATTGTGCTGTGTTTAAACTTTCTGCAACACAAAAATTCACAAACACCAATCACCCAAAGCTCTTCAATACCATAAAGGTTTCAATTACACGAAGGAGAAGGACAGGTTCAAGCTCCGTAACAACCCCAAGATAATGTTACTAGCTGGTTTCTTCTGGCCTCTGCTGTTGTCTGCACCACCCCCGTATGTGGAGCACGACGACCACACTGACCAGTGCCTTGGATCTCTGGTGGGAGACCTCCAATACCTAAGCATTTTCAAGCCTGCAGTTTTGTCTGGTTCCTTTCCGTATCATCCAGATGTCAGCCTTCTGGCAGCCTGGTCTTCACTCTGAGAGCACCAACACCTCATTGATGTCTTGGTTAATCACATCTCTGAGAGATGGAAGGGTCTTTTGATGGACCATAGGGGATGCATGAAGGAACTCAAGAGGGAGGGAGGGAACTGGGTAGGTGGGTCATAGGGAGGGAGGACTGACTTAAAATTGTGGTTTGTTATTAGGGAGCCATACAATATTTTAGGGTTTTTATTTCCTCTTCAAAGCAGAATAGAGTGATATATTGTTCCTAGTTTGGGAAATGTGGATTTTGCAAACGATATTCAGTGGGCGTTGTCTTAGTTTTCCTGCACTGCCGTAACTGAGATACCACAAGTAGGGGGCTTTAACAAACAGAGATTTATTTTCTCACAATTTAGAAGCTACAAGTTCGATTGCAAGGTGCTGCTCTAGGTCTCTCTCTCTCTTTCTCTCTGTCGGCTCTGGGGGAAGGGCCGTGCTCCCTGGCTCCTTGGTGATCTCCATGTGGCTGGCATCCATCTTCCCCCATCTCGGCTCGCTCCTCTGTCCTCATCTTCTCTTTTCATAGCTCAAAAGTCATGGGCTTAAAGCACACCCTACACTGCTCTGGCCTCTTCATGTACCAAGGAAAACCCCTTCCCCACTGGGATTGTGACCACAGGTACAGGGGTTAAGATTCACATTGCATATTTTGGGGGCAGGGGCTACAATTCAAACCATAGCAGGCACTCTCAAGACTGAAAAATTTTATTCTCACTTAAGCACAATCAGCCTTATTCCCAAGAATCCCTGGTGGTGCAGTGGTTAAAGCACCAAAAGGCCCATGGTTTGAATCTACCTGCTGCTCCACAGGAAAAGACGTGGTAGTCTCCTTACGTAAAGACTGACAGCCTTAAAGACTCTGTGGTTCTACCCTGTCCTATAGGGTCACAATGAGTCCGAATTGACTAGATTTCAATGAGTTTATGCTCATAACTTTTCTCTGAAGAAGGGGTATTGGTGGACACTACCCATGACCCACAGTACAGAGAAAATAAGACAAGCTGTATTTCTTGCTTTGAGATTAACTTAAAAGTATGTACTTAAAATTAAGATGTGCATTTTTCATCCTAGTAACATGCATGGATATAAGTTTTTACTGAGGGGTGGTTGGTCAGCATTTGCTGACCCAACAACTCACACATAAACAGGAAGTTCACAAGCCCTGAATCGGCATATCACTGCCTCTCCCCGAAAGCACCATCACTGATAAGCAACCCAGTCCCATTTTGCCTTTACTACACACACTCTGCAGCCCTAACCCATTTCATTACTTAGGGGATTCAAAATAAGAAACACAGACTCACACAGAACTGTGATATTGGAATGTACAGTAGGTTTGAGTTTAAATTAAAAAGATCCCCCAAAGTATGATTGTCTCCAGCTTCTCAGTGGTGAATTAAAAGCTGTTTGGTGTCGTGAAGATTACAGGAGCAATCACATTTATGGCCTGCTTTGCATACCAACTCTATTAATTTCCATATACGGGGTGGCTTCCTCTTTCCAAGCATGTTAACAGCAAAGCCATTTGTGATAATCGCTTGCTAAAAAAAAGGGGGGGGGGAGAGGAGAGGCAGAAAAATGGGTCTCTTAAACCAAATTCCATCTGAAACATATTGATTCTGATGAATACAAGGATCAAAAGACAAATGAGGGTTCCTGACAGTCTGAGCCTGGAGTCACACTCAGAGATCAAATGAACATGAAGTCAGATATTGGGATTCACTTCTTGTCCGAGTCCCTCACCTTGTCATTACAGATTCTAATTACTGAAATGATTTCATTGGTGTAATTGTACTGAGGTTTGCCTACGCTTCACCTTGGACAGCTCCCTGGGCGCCCAACACAGCACCTTCATTACCACATTCCTTTCAACACTGAAAATGTGTTTTAGCCACACAGAAAAATCCAATCAGACAGGGTTTTCTTTCTTTTTTTTTTTTTTTTCCTTCTTCTTCTTTAAACACTCCAGCCACACAGCACAGACATGAAGGAGGGTGGCTGGCCCATAAGTCAAACCTGAGACCATAATGGGAACATAGGCAGTTACCTTCCTTACAGCGTCCAACCAATTCAATCCCTGTTTTCCTATCCTTCCTCCCCAAGTGTTATAGAATGCTGCTCAAGAGCCTACAATTAAATGGTTATTTCTTTACCATCAATTTTAAATTCTACTGCATTAAAACTGTGTTGTTGTTGTTGTTTGGTGGCTGTACCTGTTACATATTTCACCAAACACCCCATACCTTCATAAAGATAAAATAATACACTATTGGCACTGAAAATAAGAGATTATAGCCACAGATCCAAGAGGTACACATTTTAATGAAATCATGTAGGATTTGATTTTAATCCATAGAATAGTCAATAAAGATTTTCTTCCCAAAGACCATCTGATTACCCTCAAGAACAACAGTTTCACATTCCTATGCTTGGAACTTCTCAGAAGCCACCAGCCTGCTGGTAGTGCTATTCGGTGCTGACACTGTCCTACCTGTGACTCCAGGTAGGATGCCAATCTAGGAAGGCAGAGCTTTTGTTCTCAGAGCTCTGCCTGGGGGGGATGGACCTCATCTTACCACGCAGTGCTCACACTAGGCTGATAGTGACCTTCCCTGCAGGGGGATGATGAACGTCTGCCAAGGATCAAACATGACAGAGGGCGACACACTGATCACCCGACTCACCTTGAACTGGGCAAGGCCCTCATTCCGGACCTTGCACCTGAAGTCAACCAGCAAGTAAGAAAAAGGAGCAGAAAGTACTGAGAAAACACTACACACGGAGACATGTGCCCAGACACGGAGAGAACAAACACAACAGGCAGCATTGCTTACAGTTTAGAATCCACTGGTCCTCAATGAACTCAGCTGGTTGTTCAATACGGAACACTTTCTGCTGAAATCCAGGAGTGCAATCCAAAGCTTCCGCAGATGTTAGCAGCAGCACCTGAGAAAACCGAAGCCATCAATATTTCAACAGCAACTCGCGTGTTTGCCCTGCTAACTTTTACCAAATCTGCAACTTTTAGAAATGAGCTGAGGTTTTTAATTTCGTCTCCCAAATGAAGAGGTAGGTTGATACTTTTTTGGAGGCTGCCAACGATTCAATTCTGGCAGCAAGATCGGGAAGATGTGCAAATGGGAACAGCTGTTGCAGTTCCCATTAAGTTGCAGTTAAAGAAATAAATGCGTCATATTTTGACACCTGCTCTGATTCTCACCATGGTCTCCACGTGTGAAACTTCATTACTGAAACTGTCACTTGCATATGATGTCTGGGTTGAGATCAACGTCATTTCATGTATGCAAAGGAGGGCTGCCAGCCATGAAGAGAGGGGGAAGGAAAAGTTCAAGCTACTCCTAAGAAAGTTGCAGGGCTCATCAGACCTTCACCACCCAGTTTGTTGACATGTGTCACATGTAGCTTCTGGACTCTTGCCACAGATTGAGATACTGAAAGTGTAAAATACACACTGGATGTTGAAGATGAAATACAAAAAAGAAAAAGTAAAATATCAAATGAATAATTTTTACATCGACTACACATTGACCTGATAATATTTCCCATCCTGGGCTGAATGTCATCATTTGGTGCTGTCAAGCTGGCTCCCACTCTCATGCAGCACAGCTATTTACTGGGCTAAATTGATACATTATTAAAATTAACTTCACTAGTTTCTCAATACTTCTGGAAACATGGTGGATATAAAATTTAAAATTTATGATTGCTTACAAAGGTTCTGTTTTGTCCTTTTTGTCACCCGGGAGTCAAAAATCAAGTAAAATGTGTTGTAACAAAAGTCTGTGGCCCTGTCCTGGGAAACATGAAACTTTTAGTTCCTAGTAAGAAGCAGTCATCATCCGTTTTAGGAAGCAGAGTATAAGCCCCACAAGATAGGGATTGCCTCTTTTCACCACCTGTTTATACCAAGCCCCACCATACACCCTGGCCAGAGAAGGAGCTGTGTAATAGTGAAAAAATGAAAGCCAGCATCATAGACCTCTTACTATGTGGCAAACAAGGAGCTGTGGTGAGGCAGTTGTTACAAGCACGGCTGCTAACTGAATATGGCGGCAGTTTGAAACCCCCCCCCAACACACACACACACACACACACACACATTGCTTTGCAGAAGAAAGATGTGGCAGTGTGCTTCTTTAAAGACTACAGCCTGATTCCAAAAAAGGAGTTCTGGTAAGAGGGCGGAATAGGCAGAAAGACTGCACAGACCCTTTTGAACAAAGAAAAAGGGAACCGATTAACACAGATACAGAACATAATCCTGGACCCCTGAGCTTGAAGGGAAGCATACAGAAGTGGACTAAACTCCAACTAGCAGAAGAATGTGCATGAAAACACCAACAAAGGAGACATATGGAGCTTCGGTCTGGCAGCAATCCTGATGGCACAGACAGCTTGGATATGGCCGAGTGGTGGTAGGACCTAAGAATTAACCTAAAAATCAGCCCCGCTAGCCAGGGACTGCATGGAGGACTGCTCTGGTGGCTGCTGCATAAAAGAGTAAGAGGCGAAGAGGAAGGCAGACTGAGCTGTGGATTTTTGCCTGTCCAGAGGGCACAGCCATTTTGATTGCTTACAAGTGGTTTGGCCATTTTAGATATTTAAAGCAAGAGAGTTCTCCCAGATTCCAGGGACTTAAGAACAGACTCCAATTGCCAGGAACCACAAGGACTTTCTGGATACGGACAATTGGAAAGGTAACTATTATACCCCACACCCTCTTGGTGAACAGAGGTGCAGCCATCTCTCACTCCCACCCACCTTCTGGGCCCGCAGGAATTCCATCCAAGTGTGTGTGCTCAGACAGAGCCTGGGTGCCTTGCCCCACCCTGCACTGATTTTTTCTTCTTCTTTTTTTTAGTTTGTTCGTTTTTGTCTGTTCTAAAACTATTATTATTATTATTACTTTTGTCCTTTTTACTATTATTCTTTATTCTTTCCCTCCCAGGTTCTAGTTTTCAGCAATTTTTTTTTCTTTTCCCTATTTCTGGTTCCTATATATATATATATATATATATATATATATATA